TTTCAAAATTTACTAAACCCTACACCTCTAAATTCTTTTAATATCTTAAATTATATTCTTTAATAATTCTCCATCTTTTTTAACAGATTTCAATTTTTTATATTATAGATACGTAAATTTTACCACAGTTTCATTTCACTTCTATTCTACTAAATTTAATTTTCTTTCTAAATTATTTGTATTAAATTCTAGATTTTATGTGTAATTGAAGTATATTTTGTTATTCCAAAAAATGCCTTTTACAAATAATTTAGAAAGAAAAATATACTCGAAATGTAACTTATGAGACACTCCTGTATTTTCTTAATTGTACTTGAAATTATTTTATATAATTATCCTGCTGAGACGATTAAGTTATATTTATTTTCCAAAAAAAAAATGTAGAGATGGATTGATGGGCTGATATAACTTATGTGTAAGGAATAGAGATAAAGTTGGAATAGTATTTTTCAGTAATAAAGAGTTGGAATTGTGTTTGTATGGTTGTGGAATAAGAGCAACAAAAAGGGATTGATGAGGGGAGGAAAATGACAAAAGGAAACGAGGGGAAAGGTGTGAACGTAAATATAATGAATATTTGAAGAAAAAAAATATAAATTAAGTAACTTTACACAGTTTTTTGAGAAGGGGGTGAAGAAGTTAAGAAGAAGTGTAAATAGAAAAACGCGACAAAACTATATTTTTAAGATTATATGTGCTGTTTCAGATCATCTATATGTGAAAATAATAACATAAGATGTCTGATATCTGTATTATAAAACATACAAAAGTTATTAAAAAATATGATAAATACATTGTTATTATCTACATCCAAATTAAAATAATTTGTATTAAATATTGTTAAAATAAAAATTTTAAAATTATCATCATAAAAATATTATTATTTTATAGATTAAATACTTCATGTATAAAATATTGATAAAATATCTTAAAATATTTAATATGATTATTTAAATTAAAGTAGTTCCCAAAAATTTTAATTGTTATTTCATGTAATAGACTTTCGATTATCAGCCAAAAAAGGTGAGTCAAATATATCTCTTATATTTTAGGCGACACACGTGTTACAATACACGAGACAAAATATTGCGATCTCACTAGGGTGAACTAATTTCAAATACTCATCCTTAATTAGGATTATAGGTTGCAACTTGTCTGCATGAAGTTGTAAAGGTTAGTAATTATTGGTTAGCGATACATCGGTGAATTTGTTTCCACATCTTGTACATATTATTTGTCACACTATTAAAGTTGATCATCTTCGAAGTCGTTACCTTAACTTCAAATAGGGATAAACTATAGATTTATTAAAATAAAAATATATATAAAAAGAATTTTTCTGATAAACTAAATTTAATTTATTTATAAATTAAAAAAATTAAAAATTTAATAAGATAGTTTTTTATATTTTTTTATCATTTTTCCACTCAAAAGTATTTATCTAAAAGTTAGTGATTATTTAAAAGTTTACGAAAACGAGCTTTTTCTTCTTTATAAAAAAAATTTAAATAAAAGTCTTCAAGGTGATTTGTCTTCCTGTAGTTTGCAAAATTCTCATTTTTTTCTTTTTATTTTTTAATTTAATTCCTTAATTGTTAATTATTTGTAATTTTATTTTTTTGTTAACATTAATGTTAACACATACTAATTAATTGTATTTGGCTTAATAATTTTAAAAGTGAAATTAAAACAAAAATATACAATAAATATGTGTTTCACTTCTTTTTATCCTACACCTTCCTTCATTTTCCTTCACATTTTTTTCACCTCCAACCACGTCATTCTTCCAAATTTAGGTAATAATCAGTGCAATACCAACTAATATATCCAACTTTAACCCACGTTTAAACAACAATCCATAAATAAAAAATCCTAAAAAAGGAAGAAATGAAAAAAAAGGTGGTGGAGAAAAGATGAAGAAAGTGAAAAGGGATGGTGGAAGGTTAATGGTAGAGAAAATATGGAGAAAAGGAAATAGGTGATGAAAAACAGAGGAATAAAGAGGAAAATGGTTGTGGAAGGTGATGGTGGAAAGAAAAAGGGAGAAATGAAAAGGGTGATGAAAGGTGGTGGGAGGTGGAGAGTAGAAACAAAATAAAAGTAAATAAAGAGGTTATGGAGATAGAAGATAATTTATATTTTGACATAATATCTTTCAAACGATGTTAATGTCGATTTAATATAAAGACTACATTGAGCTTTTTTTTTTTAAATAAAGACTGAATTGAGTAAAAAATAAATATGGGAAAACAATTGAATGAGAATGTCAAATATATAAATTAAAATACTAATTTAAGTTTAACTTATTCTTAAAAGATGAGGTATGTTTAAGCCTTACAAAACTAATAGAAGAAGACCTAAGTCTAGGTGCCTAAAATTAAAATTTATTATTGTAAATGTACATAGTCATAAAAAAGAGACTCTTATCATGGTACCTAAAGAGTGGGTGCTGAGAAAACATGACGAGAAAAAAGTTTATATTCATAAACATGAAGAAGTTAATAGGTCACATGACATTTAGAGAAAAAATGAAGGACACATTTATAATAATGTTTTACTTAAAATGAAGTTTTATTCATGTGTTTGTTGTTGAAGTTACAAATGAGCTTTGTCAAACATATATCTTAAGAGAAAACAACATTAAACTTCATTTGTCCATGTTTTTCAAGATGAAAATTTATGAAATGTTTTTTAAAATATCATAATACAATTCAACCTTCCCTTATTGTGTTTTTTTTTCTTGTTTTAAGAAGCATGGATGACTCATCAACAACCAACACATGAGACATTTTAGGTGTGATGCAATGTTAAACATAGTCAAAGGTAATGAATTTGACAAACAAGATTGATCCAAAGACCAAGTTCATATGACACTTTGATTAAGCATCCTTGTCATCATTTACAACTCAAATAAATCTTCTTAATCCTCAATGTAGTCATTTCGTTCCATTTTTTTAATTTTTTGCAAGGTTTGATCATGGTTGAAAATAAAATAATAGAGAAGGGCATTAGAGACATCCAAATTTTGCTTAAGATGTATATTCACAAAGCATTTGAAGATATACATGACTTAGGGAATAACACTAAAAACAAATGTAGGAAACACCATAGTGAAAGAAGTCTAAAATGCAACAATATAGAAGTAAAGATGTTGCTTAGTGTTAACCTTTATTGAATAGAGATTGAAGCAAATTTCAACAACTACAATGAAATATGATAAAGGAATGCTTGAAGCATAAAAGTGAGGTTTTTCTTATGGTAGAAGTCCATTGGTGTGAGCACTAGTGAACTTGAATTTGGTGAGCAAATGCAATTTGTATGAAGTTAAGGTTTCTAGAACTTTTTTGCCTAAGGTACTTGATTTACTTTCAAGTTGGTTATATATATATATATATATATATCTATAGATAGATGATATATTTATATATATATATATATATATATGAGGATCTTAAAAGAGTAAGGATGACTTATCGACATTTACGTTGGTCACCTTTTTTCCTTTGTAAAACTTGAATAATAGTCATGATTGGGGATTATAAGTAGCCAACACATAAGAATTTTTAGTTGTGATGTAGTATTGGACAGACCATAGTCAAAAAGCTTGTCATCTAAATGAGATTTGTATTGCTTCAAAAAGCAGGTGCATTTGACACCTTATTAATGAAGCATCTTGGTCATCATTTGCAACTTAAAGGCATATTCATAAAGCTTTTAATCTTTAAACTAATTTACTAATGAATCAATCTCAAAGAATGGTAGAGCAAAAAGGTCTAGTGGTTTCACCTTTGTTTGCTGAAAAAGGTAAAAGAGGATTAACTAATTATTCTTTTTTATCACATGGTCTTCGAACTTAATGAGTGACAACATTATATTGAATATGATATTGTGAACCATCCTACCCAAGGGTACCAAATTTGAAGCCTTAAAGAATCTTCATATCTTTGAGTTTAAGTCATACTCTAGTTGTGACTTTTTGTACAGCATCTTGTTAAATACATCAAAGTTGTGATCCTCGTCACACACTGAGAATATGAACCCTTTGTTGTCAAGATGCCCAATAAATTTAAGCATATGATATTCACCAAAACATATTCAAGGAGGTTAAAGACATCAAATCAATTCTTCAAAAACAACATAGGTTTCATTCTAAAACTATAGCCTTGAGAAATTTGACTTTGAAAGTGATGAAAAATTATGGTTGGTTATTCCAAAACTTTAAAGACTTGAAGTATCGAACTCTAATGAATTATCAAAGGTTAATTATGCATTTACATCTTGAAAATATACAATTGAAGATATATACTTAACGAATAAATGATATTGAAAATGTGTTTAATCTATGAAGGATTTAGTTAAAAGATGAGAGTTAACTAAAAAGAAGATTAAGACGGAGAGAAATCATTCGCTTGAAGTTATTCTTAAAAATCCAAAATAGTAAAAATAAGATATACGAAAATTCAAGATTTATCTTTGAAATACAGCTCACACATTCCATAAACATTATAATACTCCATGTAATATTTTAAAAAAAATTAGAATATTCTAAATCCATACATTCATAAGGAAAAAGAAGTACATAAATGAAATAACATTTTAAAAAATAGAATAAATTAGTAGTCCAAATTAAATAAAAACATTAACTATAAATAAAAATTTACATCATATCAAAATACTTGGATCATGGGATCTTCACAAAATTTTGCCAAATTGCAAATTTTAATAAAAATACAGCATTAAACTTATAAATAAATATTTGTCTTTCATCGTTAAATTTTAATTTAGAAAATGAAAATAGTAATTTTATCTCTTAGTTTGAATTTAAATTAATTCCATGATCTGAAGCATAAATATCTTAATATAAAAATATTTTTCTATTTTTCACCTATTTTTTTATTTTTATAATTTTTTATTCATATTCTCTTTCAACAACAGAAAGACAACTGTCAATTTTTTTTTTAATTTTACAATTATTTTCAGTTCAACCTGTATTTCTTTTTGCACGTATTAGGGTTTCAAGTATCCCCTCTACCTATATATTCCACTCTCTACCCAGAAATTAGGGTTTATTGTCACACCCCAGCCGTAGCTGCCCCTTGGTTTCTGCATCACTTCGATTCTTGACAATGGCGACCCAAATGAGCAAGAAGAGAAAGGTGAGTTTCTCATTTCTCAACTGTCACCAATTTCAATTGCCGATACCATCATCAGCAACTAAACATTTGCCCATAATAAAATCAATAATCTATCACTAAAACATTTGCGTGCGTTGCAGTTCGTGGCTGATGGAGTGTTTTTCGCGGAACTAAATGAGGTTTTGACACGAGAGCTGGCGGAGGATGGTTACTCTGGTGTGGAAGTGAGGGTTACGCCGATGCGCACTGAAATCATCATCAGAGCTACAAGAACCCAAGCCGTACTCGGTGAGTGTGCCTCCGTATAGTTCTGGAACCTTCTATTACTTTTTGTTGGAATTGAGTATTGAAGGGTTTTCTCTTTGTATATGTGTAGGTGAGAAGGGAAGGAGAATCAGGGAACTTACCTCGGTGGTTCAGAAGAGATTCAAGTTTCCAGAGAACAGCGTTGAACTCTACGCTGAGAAAGTCAACAACAGGGGACTTTGCGCCATAGCTCAGGCTGAGTCTCTTCGCTACAAGCTCCTCGGGGGACTTGCTGTACGCAGGTACTAATAGTCACAAATACAAATAGTCACATTTACATATACATTGTGATCCTCTATATCGTGATCCTCTATATTTCGTACAATTATGACATTGGGGAAGTATTCACCCTCGCCACCGGGATTCTGTCTTTCCATTTATAGGTGGACCTCTCTTCCTTATGAAACCTTTTTCCAGTAGTACAAAATTGTAGATTTATTGTGATCCTTGATATTGAGAATTATTGTTGACGAAGATTGTTCTGCTGTAATTCCAATTGTGGTGATTCCAGGATCCTTGATGTTCTTGTTGTAATTGCAGTTGTGTACTTCATAACTTGATTGATAAATGTCAATTTTATTTCGACAAGCAAAATGTTACCCTTTAGACCTACTTTGTTTCTGTAAGAAACATAATTTTTGATTAGTTTGCAAATTTGTTTATTTTCTAATCTCGGAATGTTATTTTTACTTCAGTGGGCACCTGCAATTTTACATTGGATTTGTGGTAATGTTATTCGATTGTGTTTATTTCAGGGCTTGCTATGGTGTTTTGAGGTTTGTCATGGAGAGTGGTGCCAAGGGATGTGAGGTTTGTTTTCCAAATGCTTTTATATGAGGTATTACTATTGTGGTTTGTTGCTTTGTCTGATGGTTTGCTTGTTTGATTTGAGCAGGTGATTGTGAGTGGTAAATTGAGAGCCCAGAGGGCAAAATCCATGAAGTTTAAGGATGGCTACATGATTTCTTCTGGGCAACCTGTCAAGGATTACATTGACTCTGCAGTGAGACACGTGCTCCTCAGACAGGTTATTTATTTCAATCTTTAATGGATTGTTTATAAAGTTTCTCTTTGGTTATTGATTCACTGTTTTACTTTTGTCATAATACTATTTTTATGCCTTGGTGTCTCCATAGGGTGTTCTTGGCATTAAGGTGAAGATTATGCTTGATTGGGATCCTAAAGGGAAGCAGGGTCCTGTAACTCCTCTCCCTGATATTGTCACAATCCATACTCCAAAAGAGGAAGAGGAATACATCCGGCCTGCTCCAGTTCTGGCCAATGATATCGAGGTCCCTGTGGCTTGAAAATACATGGAGCAGTACTTTATATTATTAGCAAATGCCTTGTTTTTCTTGTATTCAATGTTTTTGGTCAAGGACATATTCAAAATTTTGTAGTTTTTTAAAGAATTGAAGTCATTTGTTTTATCTTTTTTATACCTTTATGCTATGTAGTTTGGATCTTGTACTTGTGATTCATGGCATCGATACATTGTGTTATTTTCCTAAACCTTAATTTTTTAAGTGCAGGTGAATTTCAGAAACTAAAAATAAAGTATTTTTGTCGTTGGAAAGTACATGAATGCGTTTTGTAAAATAACGATGATCTTGTAGCCGAATTAACTCAATTTTTTGTACTTTTTTTAATGTTTACCTCTAGAGGTCAGATTGACGATTGAGCAAGTAACGTGTTGTAAGGTACATTAAGATTGATGTCTACCATAGCCATCAACAAAAGCATTTTACTGTACTTATACCTTTTGGTTTATGCATTGCCCTGCTGTCATCGACATTGTACATGGAATGCGGTATTATTTTGATGGTTTAATCATTTTTTTTCTTAATTAGATCTTATTTTTCGAAATTTTGATACAAATAATTTCAAATATTTTAATTAAGAAATTGGGGAAATTTTAATTTAACCAAGTCCTTTCATTGAATTGACATTTGCAAAAAGAAATTGAAAAAAACTCTTATGAGTCCATGGAATTAGGGTTCATGTGGTTTTTCATGCTGGTGGAGGATTGATGATGTTTAACCCCTTGAACGGTTAAGAACATAGAGAAGCAATTGGTGTATTTCTTTTACAGATTGAAAATGTAGGTGGTTGCAATTTCTTCAAATGGTGTTGTGATCATGGTATTGAGGAAAAAGATATGAATCTGAAGTGAAAAACAAGTATTTGTCGAACAGAGAAGAAATGAGAGGTGGCACAAAAATGATGACTGATTTGTAGAAATCACTTAAGGATGTGAAAAAATGGATAAAGGTGTTGATAGAGGTAGTTTGTTTGATTTGTGTGCTTAATATATTTATAATTTCAATATATATGAGAAATCCATAATGTAGCATTGATTTTCATTGTATTAGGATGCATTAGATTTATGTTAAAATGAGTTTTTATGAATGAATGAACCTTTGTTGTATTTAATATATGTTCAGACAACGTATTTGTTGGGAAACATGGGACATAGTCACTAATTGAAACAAGATTATAAATTGTTTAGGTAAACCAACCATGTTATGGTAAACTAATGCTACTAAACGAGCATATTAAAGTGGGGTGAGGAATTGCACTAAATATGGTAATAATCAATAAACATGTTTGACAAAAGAAGTAAAACCTGGTTCATGCAAAAAAGTCAGAATTTTCCTTTTAAAGGGTCATTGAGGAAAGATTATTTATTTCACTTACAAACACTACAATACAATGTTTTCATTTTTTAAACTGAGGTAGTTGCAAGAGTTGACAAAGTACTATCATTGAGCAATAACAAAAACTTCCTTCGCCTGCACAATAATTCCCTCATTGACAAAATCCTCAACAAGCAATGAAGAGGATCCAAAGTCAGAAACCTTGGTTGTGTATTTGTCATCTTCACTGACATTGGTTGCTAATACTACTACGACCAGTGACACTACTTTCTCATATAAGAATATGTCATTTAATAAAAATATATGATATAACAATAATATCTATTTAATTATTACACAATAACCATTACATGACAACATTGTTTTGTCAAATTGAAACAACACACTGAAAGACCATTATTTTCAAACAACACATTGAAACATTGAAACAACACATAAATAACCAAATGTACATCTTAAAAACATAAACATTGTTTTGTCAAATTTAAGTATTACATAATAACATCCTAAAAGTTGGTATAATCATTCCTACAACCTTCTACGGTTCAGGTTCATGGTGATGAGATACTTTAGAAAATTGTGATGATGGGATGAGTGGTTGTAATGATGGAGTAACTTCTTAGGTGACTTCTTGGGTAGCTTATTAGGTTGCTTTGGGGCAACGACTTCTGTTGTGCCCAAGGTCCCTACATAGGCCACATCTTTTGCACAAACCACCTTCGTTGAGTCGAGAATCATCCTTTCTGATCTCCAATTGTTCCAGTCTTCTTTTCTTTTTAGGTCTTCTTGACAATATTCTTTTCCTAGGAGGCATCACATCCAAATATGGTGTTATCTCCCACATGTTGTTGCCGTTGATGGAGTATATAATTAATGTGTTTATTTCTTCATAGGTGGACTTCATAAAGCAAGATGAAATGAACCACTCTTCATCCATATTCAAAAACTTCATGGCCGCCAGGAGTGACAACATGAAATTTCAGTGATGCTTCATCTCCTACATGTGCATGACAACTCGTCTATCTTGAGGACAAACTTGTCTCCACTATCGGATACATGTCTCACTTCAAACAATTTATTGGCTGACCAATTGTCAAAAAAGTACAACAATAATATTTAAGAACCAAGTAAATAATTTAACACAATTCAGAAGTAATAAATGGGGTTTACATAGGAATCTAGTGTTTGGTTAATTGTGATTCCTTTCGAAATCTGGTCTGGATCTTAGAACAAATTGATTATACAAAGGACTGTATGTTAGACCTGTTTCTTGGCCATCTTTGCATGATGTAAACCCGGTTGTCCTCCAACATGGTAATGATTGGTTTACTCCTGGTATGAACCAAAATACTGTTGAATGTCTCACTCATGTTGTTCACCAAGGTGTCACATTAGTTGTTGCAGTGAATCTGGACCTTGACCAATATCTACAACATATGATGTAAACAAATGGTAACAATAAAGAAATACAAAATATGGAGTTAGGTTATGAAGATAAACCTTGGAGGAATGACTATCAAATGCTTGAATGCCTCTTTATTTAGCTCTTTAATGTTTCTCATCTCCATCTCCCATGTTTGTGGGTGTGCGACTATAGTTGCCCTCCAGATTAGACGCTTAAGGTTTTTGCCAGGATATTTCTTCCTAAAGTTTGCATACAAGTGCCTAGCACATAATCTGCTCAACTTCAAGAAGTAATTCTTGTATAGTTGGAAGTAGGCCCTGTGGTTTTAAAACAATAAATAGCAGTTAACAACACTTATAATTAATGAATTCATGTACGAAAATACCAAATTATAGATCACTATTACCTTTTGTTGGTTTGACATAAAAGTTATTGATGAACATACTTCTGGACCACCAAGGTCATCAATCAATAGCTCAAGAAACCATGTCTATGAATACTTGTTTTCCACTTCAACCACAACATATGCAATAGGCAACATTTGGTCATTGACATCTTGTCCAACAATCGTTAACAACTCCCCACCTTACTTCCTTTTCAAGAAAGCTCCATCTAATCCAATTATTGGCCTACAAGACACAAAAATGTGTTTGCATGCCTTAAGACAAGAGTAAAATCTTTGAAAATTACGTCACCCTCATTATCCTCAACATGTACCTTAACTGTTGATCCTGGATTTCTTGTCAGCAACTCATAGACATAATCATATATCCTTTTTATATTTTTCCTTAAAGGACCCATAAATCTGATCAGAAGCAATAGTTTTGGCTCTATAAGTCATACACCTAGATATAGCAATGTTCCACTTTCTTTGAACTTTTTCATGAATATCTACACCCTTCACTTTTAGATTTTCTATGACTGTTTTCTCTAATTTCTGCTCAACTACTTGGCATCAAGTAACCTCAGGTTGAACTCTCTGCTACAGATATGCTTGTCTACAATAGTTCTCAGTTGCCATGTTTTGACAACCTCCATATAAGCATACTATATGGTCCAAGGGCATTTTCCTTTTGCACCCACACACTTCAGCCTCAATCTTGTTTTATCATTTTTTACAAATTTAATATTCCTCCAATTTTCCAAGGCATACCCTTTGATAACTTCTAAAATATCTTGCTTTTCAGCAATATATGTCCCAACTTCCCATGTAAAGATAACCATACTTTTTGGCATACAAAAGATTGCAAACCTCCCATAACCCTTATTGTCATTAACCTCTTTATCGCTATCTGCTCCACTAACTAATTCCTCAGATTGTCACTCATCATCTGACAAACCTCTCTCATCATCATTAAAGTTGTTGCGTGAAGTGTCACTAGAACTAGACCATTCTGCATCTATATCACCATGTATATGACATTCAACAGTAACATCAACTAACCCCTCCAAGGACCGACTATTTCCATGTAGACTACCCTGGTCACTAGATGAACTCCAACTATGAGCATGAACTTCCTCCTCCATAGCTCCTTCACACTCATCACCTCTTGCTCTACGTCACCATCACCTTCAACTTCACCATCAAAATGAACTGGATTTTCTGACACACCATCACCTTCTTCACCCTCATGCACCTCTTGTTGTACGTCACCATCACCTTCAACTTCAACACCATCATCTCTTCTTCACCCTCATGGACCTTTTTCCTGTATTAGAGGGTCACCTTCCAATTCACCAACACAAATCACCTCTCTCTTGTGTTGCACTATGACCTTCACATTGAACACCAACTTTACCTACACACTCATGCAACACAGGTCCCACTTGTCCTTCATCACCATTATTATATTCAAGCATGTGTATCAGTTGAGGCTAAAAAACAACATGTGCAGCATACACATGAACCTAACCATTAAGCCTAGCTAAGTTAACCAGATGCATGTCACCAATGTCATTAATCAATGGCTCCAACCTATCCTCTAACACTGAACCCCCTCCTACAAAGTACCACAAATCTTTAAAACCTACATCTCCCAAAACTTTGACTACACTAACAACCACAAAATAACTCCACATATCAGGGTCAAAGGACAAAGTTGTTGTCTCCCCTTCATACTTCAGGGTACCATCATGAACGAATTTCCCTCCATGATGGAAAACAATCTCAATATCCTCGCCCATCACGCATAACACAATATAAATATATCTACACCTATTATGTAAACATATGACGACAAAACAAAATGTATTAAAACATGTCAACACCCAATTTCGTCCGGATTAGCTCTAATAGGTTTATTTTATTTTTATTTTTGTCTTATTTTATTTTATGCTATTTTCTTTCATTTTTATTTTCAAGTTATGTTTCTATTTTACTTTATTTTACTTTTTTTTTGTTATTTCACTTTATTTGATTTAGTCTTTTCTTTATCGTCTTTTTCTTT